AATGTGCAGTCCCACTCTCCAGAGTTAGCCCACAGTAGCCAGCAGGGGTGAACAGGTGAGCAGTCCAGAAGAGTTTTATTTTTGGAGATAATGATTATAAACACATAAAAATAATGTTTTGGTGAATGCAGGGAAAAAATCATTTATTTCTGTCTTTTAAAATATTCCTCCTTTTTTTTTTTTTTAAACAGACTCTGTTTCCCAAAAGGCATCGTACCTATTCTTAATCGGGTGAACAGATAAAAATACATACATGTCTACAGAAATACATGTATTTCTTTGTCTTCTGATACTTCCGATTTCACTGGGAAACGCTTTTGTCACTTAAGTACTAAAGCAGCAATTAAAAACATGGCGAGGGTTCCTGGCACCCAAGGCTGTCAGGGAGACCATTCAGTGTGACAAGGGACACATTTTAGATCCTCCAAAAGGAAGCCGAGTGTTCTTGTGTTCAGGTCTGTCGCCTCTGTGGCTTTTCTCTTTGTGCTGACGGAGCTGAGCTCTCTCGTGGTCACGGTGGTTAGCTCAGCTCTGTCGCCTCCTGGTTGGTCATTAATTTTCTTCTTGCCTCCCTCGGCTGGCCCCTGACTCCACTGGGATCATGCTTCACCGACCCTGGCAGGGTGTCACGGTCAGATCTGCGAGACCTCTGTGAGGGTGTGCCCCGCGAAGTCAAAACCCTGGTCACTCCCAAGTAGGACTCTTGTGCCGAGCTTCTGCGATGGACACTGTCTATACCCTTCTATGAGCTCCTTCCTTTGTTGGCTTCCCTCCATCCTCATTCAGGGGGTGATAACAGCGGAGCTCTCCTCCCCATACAGGCCAGAGAGATCCAGTCCCACCTGTGACCATGGGCTGTATATTAATTCCTGCCCTCCTAGACCCTGTTGTATTTTATTTGGGAGTGGGGTCTTCACATCCTATTTAAACATTTTCCTTCTTTGGAATTCAGAGGGCCGCAGGGGCATTGTCAAACATTTTCTCTATCTCAGATGTTAGACCAAAATTGGGTTATATTTTCTCCCTTAGATATAGAAAGGTGTGACGTGAGGTTCAGAGACAGTGACTTTGACTGTTTATCCTTTGGTTGGAGGTGGACTTGGACCCACGGATGGGAAGGTGGATGATAGGAATGTGTTTCCAAAGGAAGAAATGGGATGTGTTGGTTCCCTGGGGCTCTGATATCAGACATGGATGACCACAAACTGGGTGGCTTAGAACAACAGATTTATCTTCTGGCAGTCCTGCAGGCCAGGAGTCTGAAATCAGGCTGTCGACAGAGCTATGCTTCTTCTGAGACTCTGGGTAGAATCCTTTCTTGCTTTTTTGTAGCTTCTGATGGTGGCCCTTGATCGTTGATGTTCTTAGGTAGACTTTGCACCGCTCCCATAGGTGACTCTGAGATCACAGGGCATTTTCCTTCTGTGTCTCTCTCCTCCTCTTAGAAGGACATCATTCATACTGGGTCAGGGCCTACCCTAAGGATCTCATCTTGCCTTAACTTTATCTGCTAAGACCTTGTTGCAAACAGGGTCACGTTCACAGATACCAGGAATTAGGACTTCAACAACATCCTTTTGGGGGGACACAATTCAACCCATAATACCAGGGGAGAAAAAGAGCAAAGGCCCCTAAAATGGTCTGATGGTACAAAGAGGAAAAGAAAAAAAGGAAAAGACAGATTCTTTGCCCTCTTTACGGTTTGGGGTTGGGTGGGAAGATTATGGATGTTGTTGGTCGGCTTGTCATTCTTTGCAGAAATGCTGCCCTGTGACAATCCTTGCTTCCTTTCTCAGCAAGTAAGGGGATAACTATGTTTCCATCAGGGACGTGGTGGTTAGGCTGTGGCAGTGAGCCTGATTGCATTAATGAATAGCTTTGAACAAACCCTTTCCCAATTCTGGGCATAGCTGAGTGCAGGGATTGGCCTGGATGAGTACGGCATCTGATTAAGGGAAATGCATGTAAAAAAAGCAAAAACAAAAACAAAAACCCTAGAAATACACGTGGGTGAGCATTATGTGTGTATATATTTAGAGTGTGTGTAGTATCTCTCTCCCACTCCTTCCACCCAGGACTCCTTAATAGGAACCAGGCCCAGTAAAATGTCCAGCTGGCCCTGTCCCCTCCCTGAAGTCCTGTCCGATTGGGTGAGACTGGAAGAGAATGGAGAATGTTATCACTGTGCCAGCCAGCCCCAGATTTGGCCAGGTACATGTTACTTTAGGACCAGACACCTGCATTCTAATCTGATTCATCTCCATGTTTTTTTTGATGGGGGTGGGAGCTGTCTGATTCTCGGAGTTGCTCAGCATTGGCTCCTTTTAAAAGACTTCAACTTGGCCTCTGCCAAACTAATTAACTTGGACAACTTCTTTAAGTGCCGTGAGCAACATCGACTTCAGTAAGGCGTGTTCTTGGCCCTCACGGAGTTTATATATCCTAGCGGGAGGGATGGCATGTTTATATTTTTTTCACTAATGACTCATTCATTAGACTGTCTCAGGTGCTGGGCCAGGCAGCAGCTCTGTCCTCGGGGAGTCCTGCAGCTGGTCCAGCCGTATCCACTGTCCACGGGACCATGAGGTCTCCGCCACAGAAGCCAAGTGTTGGGTCAAGGTGGGAGGCGATGTTGGAGATGGGCCTCTGTAGAAGAGGAGAATGTTTAGGGTTGCAGATGTAAAATAATTTTCTCAACCTTGGACAGAGTAGATCCAAGGGGAATGAGATGTCAGGCTAATGTGGCAAGTGTGTGGCTGGGAGAGCCTTCGTAGGTGGGATGGGAAGGGGAAGCCTATGACGGAGATGGGGCACAGCCACATACAGGGGCATGTCAGGGCCAGCACCCGAAGGTGCGCTCTAGCCAGCAGTGCGGGGGCTGACGGCACCTCTCATGGCAAGGCTTACATCCCTCCCCCACAGCTTTGAAGCGGTGCCCTAAAATCCTGCTAGAGACCACTCTGCCAGCATATGGAAGGAAGCAGCATTAGGGCATCCTCAGACTTAGCTAGAAGCGAGCATGGCTGCATTGCATGACATAGGCAAGGGGCTGAAGGGTGCTGGTTGTCCCAGAACGCTGTGCTCACTGGGATGCAGGCAGTGGGGGCAGAGGGGGGCTGTAGCATCCATACACAATGGCACCTCTGTTTTCAACCTCCCTTTTGAGTTCTCTTCAAATGAGATTTCTGCAAGATGAGCTAAAATTAGGAAAGGTCCTATCGTGTTTGACTTTTTTTTTTTTTTAAACCCTTTAGCTTGGCCTCAGATGTATCAGTTCTGGATAACTTTAAAGCTGGTAACAGGACAAACTGTGTTCACACACAGGAAATGTCTCCAAACAGAAAGTGGGCGTGCAGTTTACAGTTTGAAAATTGGATGGAGGCCATTCAAAATTCCCCTCCTGTTCTCCTTGAGAAGGACTTGGCAAAATGCTGAGAGGGGGCATTCCTCCTTGGAATAATCATGAGGGTCCAGAGGGAAACCATCTTCTGAGCAGAGCTAACCAGCTTCTGGGATGCGGGGGCCGGGAGGCTGGTGGGGCATTTACTGAGCTGCGTGCCCTCTGACTTCACATCTTGTATAGAGGGCATGTGGAGCCTGGCCAGAACGTCTCTGGCCCGTTGGTCCACACCTGTTGCCCACAGATGGCCGATCCAAACATGGGCTGAGACAGCTCAGGAACCCTGTGTGGCCTCAGCACTTGGCTCTACTGTTAACTTGAACTTAAAATTCATGCTTGTGGCTTTTGTCTTAATATAGAGGCCTTACTGTTTTACTTATTACACAAGGACTACATGTGTTGAAAATTTGGAAAATTATAAACACAGATACAATTTTAAAAAAAGAAGCATCATCATGTATAATGCCAGGACTTGGAGATATACTCTCAACATTTTGGAGCCCATGCTTTCAATCTCTCTGGGTCAGCCCATGCTTCTTTGTGACTTTGAGGACAGAGTACTGGTGACCCTTAAACAACGTGCAGTTTAAGGGGCATCAACACACACCTACCTCCCCCACTATCAAAAACCTGTGTATAACTTTTGACTCCCTCAGAACTTAACTACGCATAGCCTGTTGTTGACCAGAAGGAAGCCTTACTGATAACATAGACAGTTGGTTAGCATATATTTTTTCTCTTGTATGTATGTATGTATATACTGTATTCTTACAAGCAGGTAAGCTGGAGGAAAGAAAAGGTTATTAAAAACATAAGGAAGAGAAAATACATTTACGGTACTGCACTTTCTTTATGGGAAAAAAATCTGCATATAAGGGGCCCTGTGCAGTTCATGTCCATGTTGTTCAAGGGACTACTATTAGAGGATATCGGCTCTGTGAAGTCCATGTCTGCTGTGCGTTAATCTTGTGTGGCTTTGGGCCAATGACTTTACCTCTCCATTGTATCCCTAAGATTGGCATGGTGTTTATACCTACTTCATACTAAATGGGATAATCCCTTCAGAATGCTTAGGCTGTGCCTCTGCAGTATGTTACTCTTGTTACATATTATTATTATTCTATAATAAAATCAGATCACACCATACCTTCTATTTAGGAACTTACTCTTTCCTCTAAACCACTGTGACTACTCTTCTGTAACATCAGATGTTCTTCTTTGGTGTCATGGTTATAAAGAAAAAGGACCCTACTGTTTCTATAAAAACAATACATATTCATTATGAAGAATTTTATTTATTTATTACTTTATTTTTAAAGATTTTATTTATTTATTTATTGAGCACATGAGTGGGGGAGGGGGCAGAGGGGGAGAATCTGAAGCTGACTCCACGCTGAGTGCAGAGCCTGATGCAGGGCTCAATCCCAGGACCCTGAGATCATGACCTGAGCTGAAATCAAGAGTCAGATGCTTAACTAACTAAGCCACCCAGGCACCCCCATTATGAAGAATTTTAAAATGAAGAAAAGTTCAGATAAAAATATTTTAAGAACTTCGCCCTCCAGCCGGGGTAGCTGCAGCCCGACCCTGAGCGAGCCCAGTGGCCTCAGCTGCGAGCAGAGTGGCGGTAGCAGCCCCTCTCAGGAGACCACCAGGTCACCTCTTTCTGTGGCCTCGCCATGGCAACCTACGGACAGAGCTGCACGCGGCTGATGTGTATTCCTCCATCATATGCTGACCTTGGCAAAGCTGCCAGAGATATTTTCACAAAGGATTTGGTTTTGGGTTGGTGAAACTGGATGTGAAAACAAAGTCATGCAGTGGTATGGAATTCTCAACGTCTGGTTCATCTAATACAGACACTGGTAAAGTTACTGGAACCTTGGAGACCAAATATAAATGGTGTGAGTATGGTCTGACTTTCACAGAAAAATGGAACACCGATAACACTCTGGGAACAGAAATCGTAATTGAAGACCAAATTTGTCAAGGTTTGAAACTGACATTTGATACCACCTTTTCACCAAACATGGGAAAGAAAAGTGGTAAAATCAAGTCTTCTTACGGGAGAGTGTATAAACCTTGGTTGTGATGTTGACTTTGATTTTGCTGGACCTGCAATCCATGGTTCAGCTGTCTTTGGTTACGAGGGCTGGCTTGCTGGGTACCAGATGACTTTTGACAGTGTCAAATCAAAACTGACAAGAAATAACTTTGTGAGCTACAGGACTGGGGACTTCCAACTACACACTAATGTCAATGATGGGACAGAATTTGGAGGATCAATTTATCAAAAAGTATGTGAAGATCTTGACACTTCAGTAAATCTTGCTTGGACATCAGGTACCAACAGCACTTGCTTTGGCATTGCAGCCAGATATCAGTTGGATCCCACTGCTTCCATTTCTGCAAAAGTCAACAACTCTCGTTTAATTGGAGTGGGCTACACTCAGACTCTGAGGCCTGGTGTCAAGCTTACACTGTCCGCTCTGGTAGACGGGAAGAGCATCAATGCCGGAGGCCACAAACTTGGGCTTGTCCTTGAGTTGGAGGCTTAATCCAGCTGAAAGAAACCTCTGGGAATGGATATCAGAAGATTTGGCCTTAATATATTTCCAGTGTGACCAGCAGCCCCCTGCCGCCAAGAAGGTGATCAAATCAAAGGATGATCTAAACAAGAGCTGTATTTTAAATATTTAGACAGTTACTTGTTAGCTGGTTTCTAGTTGAATTGGTTATCTATCTAGTTATCAATGCTGCAGTCGTGCAGTCACCTATACATTATTTAAATGTATTTAACTGTTAAATGCGCTACTCACCAATAATGAAATAGACCTTTATGAAAACTGTAAATATATATATATATATATGTATATATATATATATATATATATATATTTTAAGACATTCCAAACTTAGCCATTCAGATATCACTGACTTTGGTGTTTGAGGGGTGATAATTAATTGCCTTCCTCTCTGTTTTTCCCCTCCCACCAATTAATAATTAGTGGTATAGTAGACATGTTAACCAGCTACAGGGGTATAAAAATATCAACTTGGAGTTTGTATGGAGAAATTTGGAGTTTGAGTGACAAAACTCAGTTTGTGGCCAGATTCAGACTCCTCACTACTTTGCTGCTGGTCAGAATGATAGGCTGGTTGTCTCAGCAAGGGTGCACCGTGCACCTGCTTAGGTAAGCTTACCTCCTGGAGGGGCAAAGAATGCGTGCATCCTGAGGACTGCTCACAGTAGAGGACGAAGAGGAAGAGGTTGGGGCAATCTTCTAGGCTTCCTTTTACAACTTTACAGATCAGGTAAGTCTCGCTAGCCCCCTTTGGGGAGGACTGAGTGAGGAAGTCAGAAGAGCAGAAGCTTTATCTTTGTTTCTTCCAGAAAGTAGAGGTTCCTTCTCTAGTATGGATCAAGATGTGGGTTCTGAGAAGAGTAGGAGGGTCCAGTTCTGAAAAGAGTAACTCCCCCTTAGAATTGTCTTTAACAGTATATCATTTCAGAGTTCTTTCTGTTCCTCCATGGAAAATTGGCTGGCTGGCTGGATATACTTTGTAAAATCTCTGTTCTTGAAATACCAAGTAGAAAATTTAACTTTGCTCAAATTTAACAGAAGACTTAATGAAAACTCAGAAAAAGTCACTGCCTTCGACCCTTGAATGTTGATGTGGAAGGCTGTGCCCAGCCTGCTTTGTCCTCTTGTATAGGTTATGTGCTCATAGGTGGGATGTGCGTTCTCTGCTATAAGGACGCCAGTTATCCATATGTTGGATTGTCTTTGAACTCCATACTTGTTTTTCTTTGATTACTTGGATCCCTTGTTTTTATCTGTATTCACTGTTTTTATTTTAGCTTTCCTGTAGTCAGTAAATTGATGTGAAGCCATCTTTCTTCAGTTTGCTGTAAATTTTACTTTATATATTACTTTTCTAATGTTTATTTGGCCCCCAATTAATTTCTTTAGGTCTACAATCTCATTTTTTGTTGTTGTTAATGTTGCCTTTGTGTTCTTATTCTATTGCACTCATATTCATATTAAGTTCTATGGCTCAAAGATCTTTTGAGGGGAATTCTCTTATTGGGTTCTGTTTTCCTTTAGGGCGAATTCTTTGTCTTTGATACAGTGTTTCATTTGTCCTTTCCTCCAGGATTCTGTGTTTGTAGAGACCAGGCCTTTTTGTTTGCTTTTTTCCACTCTGTTCTTGCCTGAGTGTGTCTATGCAGATCTTTCTTGTTCTGGGTGTGGGTGATTTCTTGATCTGAAGCCTTTCTTTTTTTCCCCCCTTACTACGTGAGTTGAAGTTTGATGGCTGGCTTTTTGTTTGTTTGATGGCCATGCTTTCTGCACCCTGAGGGCCCACAGAGCATCCGGGACTGGCTAAGCCATAGCAGGTGGTGTGTAGGGTGCTGACTAGTTGCAGCTAAAAAATGTTGGCTTGAGGCACCTCGGTGGCTCAGTTGTTAGGCGTCTGCCTTCGGCTCAGGTCATGATCCCAGGGTCCTGGGATTGAGTCCTGCATCAGGCTCCCTGCTCAGCAGGAAGCCTGCTTCTCCCTCTCCCACTCCCCCTGCTTGTACTCCCTCTCTCGCTCTCTCTCTCTCTGTCAAAAAAATAAATAAGATCTTAAAAAAAATGAATAATAAAAAAAGAAAAGAAAATGTTGGCTTGGTGGCTTTTACTTCTGGGATGTTTTAAAGGTTATTTTAGGAGGGTCCAGTCTTCCTATGTGGGAGTACGTACTGCCTGCTCTTGGGTAGTATTCTCTGGCCTCAGATCAGCCCTGGATCTCATTGTGTACTCCTGGAGCCTTCACTGCCTCCCAGCAGAAGTAATCAGCACCGTGGTTCAGGGCCTTTTCATCCTTCTCTCCCTAGTAAATATTTTCACTATTCCCCAGTCAGGAAAGAGGACTGTATTGATACCTACTCATGCTTTTCTCCAGATTCAATGATATTAATAAAAACTCTCCAGATTTTTATTTAGTCCCTGGTTCATCATTCTGAGGGTGGTGGATGCAGGGTTATGAGCCTTGCTATGCCATAGCATTCTGTTCTAGAATCTTCCTTTACTTTCCCTGGCAGGCAGTATTTGAATTTTAGGACATTGGATGTGCTTTTTTTTTTTTTTTTTTTTTTTTGGACTGGTGATTTTTAAACATTTCTGCTCTAAAAATTTTTTTGGTTAAGTTTTGAAAGAGTGAGATTTTGTGCAGAAGTTCGTACCATTTTAATTGAGAAGTACCTCCTATCACTTTATTTTTTTTATTTTTTAGATTTTATTTATTTATATGACAGAGAGAGAGACAGCAAGAGAGGGAACACAAGCAGGGGGAGTGGGAGCGGGAGAAGCAGGCTTCCCGCTGAGCAGGGAGCCCGATGCGGGGCTCGATCCCAGGACCCCGGGATCCCGACCTGAGCCGAAGGCAGATGGCTTACCGACTGAAGCACTCAGGTGCCCCCCTCCTATCAAATTAAGTGTTTGCATAACATTCTATTGTATTTCATTCCCGTATATCTGTGAATAGGTTGTTTACTGCTTTGTTTTGCCAGTATAAATCCAGATTTCCTCATTACTTTTCTGTTTTGCTTTTTAGAATTGTAGTATAGGTTGATGAGATTAAGGGGATGGTCACAACCGTGGAGAGGGGACTGTCATTTTCTGGGGGTCTTATGTGTGTCAGGGAGCCCGTAAATAGTCTGATTCCGTTCTCATAACAGCCCTGTAAGGTAAACACCATTATTTCTGTTTTCCAGATAAGGAGATGAGGGCTCAGGGAAGTCGAATACCTTGCCCAGAGTGACAGCAGTAGTGTTTGATCCTGGGTCTCTCAGCTTTGCCTTGCTCCGAAATCCCTTTCCTTTCTTCAGACCACAGCCCCGTAAGAAATCACAGCCCAGTGGAATGCTTAAGCATGATGGGTGTTTTCATATCATTTTAACATGTTACTACTTGTAAGAGAACACTGTTCTTTTTTTATTTTTCTTCCTTTCTTTCTTTCTTTTTTTTTTTTTTTTTAAACTGATAGTGAATGTTGAACAGGACTTCACTGGGGCAGAGAACTGTGTTATCTGTCTCTCCTTTCTCCGTGAGTACAAAATGGCATTTGCAGGAGCTGTGAGCTCTGAAAATGAGGCTTTGTACATTACATGCCCTGTCACAGGGCCCCTGCTCTGGGCATGTTGTTACCTGTGTGCTCAGCCCTCGACTGTGTTTCTTGCTCTGAACAGCCAAACACTCAAAAACAAGGGCCATTATGTAATCCGGCCCTAACAGCCCCCACAAAATTACAGACTGCTCCATGCCAGTGTGAACAGACACTCTAATTAATGTTTACTTCTTCACCAGTCATTTTTCAAGACCTTTGTACAAAAGCACATGTCCCCTCTTCAAAAAGTATTCTGAGGGATTTACCAAGAGTAACATTTTGATATTTACTGAAAGACTGCTGATTGGGATATCATTTATTTACTCTGGGTCTCTGTTTTATTGTCAAAAGGGAAAATAACAATGCCTCTCTTTCGTGTGTGGAATGTTTAATGAGTTTCAAAGTGTTGTCGTGGGTTATGTCATTTCAGCCATATGGCAACCCAGGGAGATCGGTGGGGTATTTTTGACCCACTTTTATGTTTAACTCTTTATTATAAGTTCTCAAACAAGGCAGAAAAAAAGACATTATAATGCAGTGAATAGCCATGTACTTACCAGTTAGGATTGAACAGTCAAACGATTTGTTGAACAATACATACACACACACAAATATATCCATATACTTTTTTTTTTACCACCTTAAAGGAAACTGTAGAAAGGAGGACATTTCACACCTAAATACTTCATTATGCCTCTGCATAAAATACGATCATATCCTTATAAAACCATGACCCTGTTACCACTCCTAACAAGGCAACTATTCCCTCATTTGAACTAATACCTGCTACATATTCAACTCTCTCCAGGTGTTCCCAAAATATCTCCATTGGTGTTGCTATTGACATCCATAACTCTGTCCCTAGCTCAATCTCCAGAACAGTCTACCTATTTTTTTAGGCAGCCAAAAAGCAGTGAAAGATCCTACATTTCATTTTTTAGATGACTTTTAGTCTCTCTCTCTCTTTTTTTCTTTTTGATTTTTTTTATTGTAGTAAAAAACATAACATGGAATTTAGCATCTTTAACATTTTTTAAAAGATTTTATTTATTTGAGAGAGAGAGTGGGAGGAAGAGACAGAGGGAGAGGGAGAGGGAGAGAAAGTCTTAAGCAGACTTAAGCAGAGCCCGATCCGGGGCTCGATCCCATGACCCTCAGATCACCACCTGAGCTGAAACCAAGAGTCAGATGCTTACCTGACTGCACCACCCAGGTGCCCCTACCATCTTTAACAATTTTAAGTGTACAGTTCACTGACAGTAAGTACATTTAATATTGTTGTGCTCACATCACCACTGTCCATCTCCAGAACTCTTTCCATCTTGAAAAATTGAAACTCTGTACCTATTAAACAATAACTCCATGCCCTTCTCCCCTCCACCCTCTGGCAACCACCATCCTACCTGCTGCTGACTCTGTGAATTTGACCACTCTCGATGTCCCATGTCAATGGGATCTTATAATATTTCTTCTCTTGTGTCTGGCTTGTTTCACTTGGCATCATGTCTTCAAGGTTCATCTGTGTTGTGGCCTGTACCATAATTGCCTTCATTTTTAGGGCTGAGTAATATTCCATTGTATGTAGGTACCACGTTTTGCTTCTCCATTCATCCGTGGATGGATGCCGGGTTGCTTCCACATTTTCGCTCTGGTGAACTCATGCTGCCGTGGATGTGGGTGTACAACTTTTAGCC